CACTTTTTACGAGAGTAACGTGGTCAAAATGACAGCTGTCAAATTTGTTCAAGTTCAAAAAATTTTAAACATTTTTTCACATAAATACCGCATAAATTATCCGAGAAATTAAAAAAAAAAAATTTGAAAGGTGTCAAATGTCAAAATTGATTTTGACAAATTAGGACGTCAGCTGTCGAATGCACTTTATCTCGAATTTTTCTGACTTCTCTTTGTCACTTTTTTTGGAGAAAACATGGATAAAATAACATCTGTCAAATTTTTTGTAATTTTTTTAAAAATATCTATCACATAATATATTATTCGAAAAATTAAAAAAAAAAAGAAAATGACAGGTGTCAAATGTCAAAATCAATTTTAATAGAAAAAGACGTCAGCTGTCAAACGCACTTTATCTCGAATCTTTTTGACTTCTATTTGTCACTTTTTTCGGGGAAAACAAAGACAAAAAGATACCTGTCAAATTTTTTGACAGGTCCAAAAAAATTTTAAACATTTTTTCACATAGACATCGCATAAATTATTCGAGAAATTAAAAGAAAAAAAATTTGACAGGTATCAAATGTCAAAATCGACATTGACAGATTAGGACGTCAGCTATCGAACGCACTTTATCTCGAATTTTTCTTACATTTCCTGGTCACTTTTTTCGGAGAAAACATAGACAAAATGACACCTGTCAAATTTTTCGACAGGTCCAAAAAAATTTAAACATTTTTTTACATAGATATCGCATAAATTATTCGAGAAATAAAAAAAAAAATTGACAGGTGTCAAATGTCAAAATTGATTTTGACAGATCAGGACGTCAGCTGTCGAACCCACTTTATCTCGGATTTTTCTGACATTCCCTGGTCACTTTTTTCGGAGAAAGCATAGACAAAATGACACCTGTCAAATTTTTCGACAGGTCCAAAAAAATTTAAACATTTTTTTACATAGATATCGCATAAATTATTCGAGAAATTAAAAAAAAAATTGACAGGTGTCAAATGTCAAAATTGATTTTGACAGATCAGGACGTCAGTTGTCGAACGCACTTTATCTCGGATTTTTCTGACATCTCCTTGTCACTTTTTTCGGAGAAAACATAGACAAAATGACACCTGTCAAATTTTTCGACAGCTCCAAAAAAATTTAAACATTTTTTTACATAGATATCGCATAAATTATTCGAGAAATTAAAAAAAAGAATTGACAGGTGCCAAATGTCAAAATTGATTTTGACAGCTCAGGACGTCAGCTGTCGAACGCACTTTATCTCGAATTTTTCTGACATCTCCTTGTCACTTTTCTCGGGGAAAACATAGACAAAATGACACCTGTCAAATTTTTTAACAGATCTAAAAAAATTTAAACCCTTTTTCACATAGCATAAATTATTCAAGAAATTTAAAAAAAAAAATTGACAGATGTCAAGTGTCAAAATCGATTCTGATAGATTAGGATGTCAGCTGTCGAACGCACTTCATCTCGAATTTTCTGACATCTGCTTGTCCCTTTTTTGGGAAAAGCATAGACAAAATGACACCTGTCAAATTTTTTGACAGGTCCAAAAAAATTTCAAACATTTTTCCACATAGATACCGCATAAATTATTTAAGAAATTAAAAGAAATTTTTTTTACAGGTATCAAATGTCAAAACTGATTTTGACAGATTAGTACGTCAACTGTCAAATTTTTTGACGGGTCCAAAAAATTTTAAACAATTTTTCACATAGATACCGCATAAATTATTCGAGAAATTAAAAGAAAAAAAATTTGACAGGTGTCAAATATCAAAATCGATTTTGACAAATTAGGACGTCAGCTTTCGAACGCACTTTATCTCGAATTTTTTTGACATCTCCTTGTCACTTTTTTCGGAGAAAACATAGACAAAATGACACCTGTCCAAAAAAATTTAAACATTTGTTTACATAGATACCGCATAAATTATTCGAGAAATTAAAGAAAAAAATTGACAGGTGTCTAATGTCAAAATTGATTTTGACAGATCAGGACGTCAGGTGTCGAACGCACTTTATCTCGAATTTTTCTGACATCTCCTTGTCACTTTTCTCGGGGAAAATATAGACAAAATGACACCTGTCAAATTTTTTAACAGATCTAAAAAAATTAAAACACTTTTTCACATAGATACCGCATAAATTATTTAAGAAATTAAAAGAATTTTTTTTTACAGGTATCAAATGTCAAAACTGATTTTGACAGATTAGCACGTCAACTGTCAAATTTTTTGACAGGTCCAAAAAATTTTAAACATTTTTTCACATAGATACCGCATAATTTATTTGAGAAATTAAAAGAAAAAAATTGGGCAGGTGTCAAATATCAAAATCGAAAATATAAACACAACAGACAAAATGACACCTGTCAAATTTTTTGACGGGTCCAATAAGTTTTAAACATTTTTTCACCTAAATACCGCATAAATTATACGAGAAATTGAAAGAATTTTTTTTGACAGGTGTCAAATGTCAAAATCGATTTTGACAGATTAGTACGTCAGTTTTTAAACGCACTTTATCTCGAATTTTTCTGACATCTCTTTATTACTTTTTCCGGGGAAAACATAGACAAAATGACACCTGTCAAATTTTTTTATCAGGTCCAACAAATTTTAAACATTTTTTTACATATCTATCACATTTATTCGAACAATTAAAGAAAAAAAAAATTGACAGGTGTCAAATATCAGATTTTGACAGATTAGGACGTCAGCTATCAAACGCACTCTATCTCGAATTTTTCTGACATTTCCTTGTCACTTTTTTCGAGGAAAATATAAACAAAATGACACTTGTCAAATTTTTTGACAGGTGAACAAAATTGTAAATAATTTTTTACAATTAGTGCAGAAACAGTGCAGTTAGTGCAACTAGGTTATCGATACAAAGCTGGTGCACTTAGTACAGAATTTAGAGTAATTAGTGTAGATTGTGATCGGAATAGTACAATTAGTGCAAATCAATATTGTCACGATAAATAGAATTCTATTTTATTACGTCAGGAAATCCGTTTCAAATGACAGTCGAATACCTGTGAATTTCGACGATTGCTGTAACATGACGTCATAAAATAGAATTCTATTTATCGTGTTCTATCATTTAAACTTTAGAACCATTAGAACAATGAATTTGAAAAGTTTCTTGCACTAAAGCACTTTTCGTGGAACGATTTCAGAAAGAAAAGTGTCAAAAAAGTTTTCAATCTGTGTAATGAAACTTTTGAAGTCCGCTCTTTTTACACCGAACACCAACAATCTTACTCCATTCACTTAAAAACGGTAATCAAAACAATAAAGTAGCTACTCTAACTGTTTGGAAATGGCCTTTTAGTGTAAATAGAGTAATTGGAGTAACTAAAACACAATTGCGAGGGCAAAGAATTTTACTCTATTTACTCCAAAAACAATTAGTGCAGTATAAAAAAATCAATTAAGGGCCTTCTAGAGTACTCAATATTCACTCTTACTGTTCGATTATTCTTTTTTTACCGTAATTATACGGGGTAGAGTAATAAGACCTTGCTCCAACTTAATTTAAAACTTTTGGAGTCTACTCCTTTTACTCTTTTTTTTGTGTAATGTGCTCTGAGGATTAACCAAAAGTTTGTTCCGAGCTTGTTCGTGGGTAAAAAATCCTTTACTCTGAACTGATTCGCAATCAAACAATGCAAAATTCTTCTAGATCATAGTGAATTTGTTCGCAATTGATCTAGAACCAGTTCGCATTTTTCAATTGCTGTTCCGAACTTGAAAAAAATCCTGAACTGGTTCACTTTACGAGAATTCTGAATTAGTGCCCCGGAGTACGATAAACTTTCTATTTTTTGTTCCTAGTTCATTTTGAACCAGTTGCAAATTGATTCAGAACTGGTTTTCATTGTTCTAAGCTTTAGAATTGTTGTTCTGAACTTGGAAAAATCCTTTAGTACTCGTATACTCCATGAGAATTATGAATTAGTGCTCTGGAGCACGATACTTTGTTCCTAGTTCATTTTGAACCAGTTCCAAATTGATTTTGAACTGATTCTCAGTGTTCCGAATTTTGAGATTGTTGTTCCGAACTTAAAAAGATCATTATTTGATTCACTCTATTAAAAAAAGTCTCAATCCCCCACCAGGTACCAGTGATGACGTAGGCAGAATATCATTTCTCACCTTCACTGCAAGGATAATACACACCTACAGGATTGCTTATCGGTCTCGTTTTTGATCGCTGCCCAAGGTTCCATTGTACTTTTTTCCTAAAATAAATTATTCAAAACATAAATGTCAAAAGTGTCACAAATGAATTTTGACAAACAACGAAATGGCATTGAAGTTGCCAAGTGGCGCCATCTAGTAATTGACGGCCAAAGTTGCAAAATTGCAGATTTCTGTAAAATAACGTTACTAAAATGGAATTCAATTTTTTGCAATTTATTGTAATTTTTTCAAAGTCGATAGTTTTATTTCAATATATCGATACACAAAAGTCAAAAATGTCAAATGTCAATTGAAACGATACAAAAGTTTTCATTTAAAATCGATATTTTTATGATAAATAGAATTCTACTTTATATGGATTCCAAAATCGCATCCATATGACAGATGGTAAAGAAAATAGTGCGAACAGACTAAAATAGAATTCTATCTATCGTGTTCTTAGATTGAATAATGCGACCCTATTTAAATTTTCTCTTGCACTCAGTGCAAAGACAGAACAAGTTTTTTTGTATAAATAGAACATTAAGTGCAGCTAATTAGAAATCAGAGCAATTGGTGCACTTAGAGCAACACTCAATTTATTTAAAGCAGAAAATGCAATCAGTACAAAGTGATAGATAAATAGAATTCTATTTATCTTGTTCCAAAATTCAAATCAAGTTCGGTTGACTTTGAAAATCGATTTTGGAAATGTAAATAGAATTCTATTAACGTCAAGAAAGAAATCTATAATGTGGCGCCATCTATGAAATTCAACCAAAACAACGTCACATTTTGTTACTTCATTGACAGATTGACAACGTTTTGTTGTTTTTTGTTTATATTTTTAGATTTTCCAGCTGAAATCAAGGAAAAAACTGAAAAATCTTCGATGGCGTCGTCTCTGGAAAACCTGGAGGCCCAACTGGAAATGTTTATCGAGAATGTTCGACAAATTCACATAATCGTCAGCGATTTTCAGCCCCAAAGTCAAAATGTCCTCAATCAGAAACTGTAAGTAGGAAAATTCACAAAATTGTCACAATTTTCCAATTGAAATTGTAACTTTCTTGATAAGAATTGTCACAAAAATTCACAATTTTTTGATAAAAATTGTCACAAAAATTCACAACATTTACTATTGATACTTTAAAAGTACTTATTTCTGAGTACTTTTAAAGTTATTTATATTCAAGTACTTATTTTTGACAGCTAGAATTGACTTTTCCAGTACTTTTGAACCCTTTAATGAATACCTACTTTTCAAGTTTTCAGTACCTTATCAAGTTTATTTCAAGTAATTTTCAACACTTTCAAGTTGAACTTGAAGTTTTTAAATTTGCTTCAAGTACTTATTTTTGACAGTTTAAATCTAGTTTAAGTACTTATCAACACTTTAAAGTTGAATTTGAAGTTTCAAGTACTTATACTTGACAGCTTCAATTCACTTTTCAAGTACTTTTAATCAGTTTGAAGTACTTATTTTTAGCAGTTCAAAATTAGTTTTGAAGTACTTTTCAACAATTTGAAAATAATTTCGAGTACTTTTAAAGTTATTTTCAAGTACTTTTTAACACTTTAAAGTTTTTAGTACTCATTTTTAACAGTTCGAAATCAGTTTTGAAGTACTTTTAAACAATTTGAAATCAATTTTCAGTCCTTTTAAAATTATTTTCAAGTACTTTTCATCACTTCAAAGTTTCAAGTACTCATTTTTAGCAGTTCAAAATTAGTTTTGAAGTACTTTTCAACAGTTTGAAATTAGTTTTGAATACTTTTAAAATTATTTTCAAGTACTTTTCATCACTTTAAAGTTTCAAGTACTCATTCTTAACAGTTTAAAATTACTTTTGAAGTACTTTTCAACAGTTTGAAACTAATTTTTCAGTACTTTTAAAGTAATTTTCAAGTACTTTTCATCACTCTAAAGTTTCAAGTACTCATTTTTAACTGTTCAAAATTAGTTTTGAAGTACTTTTCATTAGTTTGAAATTAATTCTGAGTACTTTTAAAATTATTTTCAAGTACTTTTCAACATTTTAAAGTTTCAAGTACTCATTTTAAACAGTTCAAAATTGATTTTGAAGTACTTTTTAACACTTTGAAATTAGTTTTGAGTACTTTTAAAGTAATTTTCAAGTACTTTTCATCACTTTAAAGTTTCAAGTACTCATTTTTAACAAAATTAGTTTTAAAGTACTTTTCATCAAATTGATATTAACTTTGAGTACTTTTTAAGTTATTTTCAAGTACATTTTATCACTTCAAAATTTCAAGTACTCATTTTTAACAATTCAAAATCAATCTTGAAGTACTTTTCAACAGTTTGAAAATAATTTTGAATACTTTTAAAGTTATTTTCAAGTACTTTTCATCACTTTAAAATTTCAAGTACTCATTTTTAAAAGTTCAAAATTAATTTCAAAGTACTTTTCAACAATTTAAAATTAATTTTGAAGTTGTTTTAAAAGTACTTTTTAACAACTTGAACTTTATTTTGAAATTATAAATTTAAAGAAATTTTCAAGTACTTTTCACAACATTTTAAAGTTTCAAGTACAAATTTGTAACAGTTTAAAATTAGTTTTGAAGTACTTTCCAACAGTTTAAATATAATTTTGAGTACTTTTAAAGTTATTTTCAGGTACTTTTAATCATTTCAAAGTTTCAAGTACTTATTTTTAACAGTTCAAAATTAGTTTTAAAGTACTTTTCAACAATTTAAAATTAATTTTGAGTAATTTTAACAATATGTTCAAGTACTTTTCATCACTTTAAAGTACTCATTTTTAACAGCTCCAAATTAGTTTTGAAGTACTTTTCAACTGTTCGAAATTAAGTTTGAGTACTTTTAGAATTATTTTCAAGTACTTTTCATCACTTTAATGTTTCAACTACTCATTTTTAACAGTTTAAATATAATTTTAAGTACTTTTCAACAGTTTGAAATTAATTTTCAGTACTTTTAAAGTAATTTTCAAGTACTTTTCATTACTTTAAAGTTTCAAGTACTCATTTTTAACAGTTCAAAATTAGTTTTGAAGTACTTTTCATTAGTTTGAAATTAATTCTGAGTACTTTTAAAATTATTTTCAAGTACTTTTCAACATTTTAAAGTTTCAAGTACTCATTTTAAACAGTTCAAAATTGATTTTAAAGTACTCAAGTACTTTTAAAGTAATTTTCAAGTACTTTTCATCACTTTTTGTTTCAAGTACTCATTTTTAACAAAATTAGTTTTTGAGTACTTTTCATCAAATTGATATTAACTTTAAGTACTTTTTAAGTTATTTTCAAGTACTTTTCATCACTTTAAAGTTTCAAGTACTCATTTTTAACAGTTCAAAATTTTTTTGAAGTACTTTTCAACAGTTTGAAATTAATTTTGAGTACTTTTAAAGTTATTTTCAAGTACTTTTCATCACTTTAAAATTTCAAGTACTCTTTTAACAATTTAAAATTAGTTTTTAAGTACTTTTCAACAATTTGAAAATAATTTCGAGTACTTTTAAAGTTACTTTCAAGTATTTTTCATCACTTTAAAGTTTCAAGTACTCATTTTAAACTGTTCAAAATTAGTTTTGAAGTACTTTTCATTAGTTTGAAATCAATTCTGAGTACTTTTAAAATTATTTTCAAGTACTTCTCAACATTTTAAAGTTTCAAGTACTCATTTTAAACAGTTCAAAATTGATTTTGAAGTAACACTTTGAAATTAGTTTTGAGTACTTTTAAAGTAATTTTCAAGTACTTTTCATCACTTTAAAGTTTCAAGTACTCATTTTTAACAGTTCAAAATTTTTTTGAAGTACTTTTCAACAGTTTGAAATTAATTTTGAGTACTTTTAAAGTTATTTTCAAGTACTTTTCATCACTTTAAAATTTCAAGTACTCTTTTTTAACAATTTAAAATTAGTTTTTAAGTACTTTTCAACAATTTGAAAATAATTTCGAGTACTTTTAAAGTTACTTTCAAGTATTTTTCATCACTTTAAAGTTTCAAGTACTCATTTTTAACTGTTCAAAATTAGTTTTGAAGTACTTTTCATTAGTTTGAAATCAATTCTGAGTACTTTTAAAATTATTTTCAAGTACTTTTCAACATGTTAAAATTTCAAGTACTCATTTTAAACAGTTCAAAATTGATTTTGAAGTACTTTTTAACACTTTGAAATTAGTTTTGAGTACTTTTAAAGTAATTTTCAAGTACTTTTCATCACTTTAAAGTTTCAAGTACTCATTTTTAACAAAATTAGTTTTTAAGTACTTTTCATCAAATTGATATGAACTTTAAGTACTTTTGAAGTTATTTTCAAGTACTTTTCATCACTTTAAAGTTTCAAGTACTCATTTTTAACAGTTCAAAATTACTTTTGAAGTACTTTTCAACAGTTTGAAACTACTTTTTCAGTACTTTTAAAGTCATTTTCAAGTACTTTTCATCACTCTAAAGTTTCAAGTACTCATTTTTAACAAAATTAGTTTTCAAATACTTTTCATCAAATTGATATTAACTTTGAGTATTTTTGAAGTTATTTTCAAGTACTTTTCATCACTTTAAAGTTTCAAGTACTCATTTTTAACATTTTAAAATCAGTTTTGAAGTACTTTTCAACAAGTTGAAATTAATTTTGAGTACTTTTAAAGTTATTTCCAAGTACTTTTCAACACTTTAAAGTTTCAAGTACTCATTTTTAAAAGTTCAAAATTAGTTTTTAAGTACTTTTTAACAATTCTATTTATTTTTAAAAATATTTTCAAGTGTGTGATTTTTTCAAAATAAATGAAAATTGTACTAAATTTAGTACAATTTGAGTACAATTTTTTTTTTTGCAGCCAAGCTATGGTGCATGGACTGCAAGAAGTGGACAAATTGAAGGCGCAGGTGCAAGACGTCCACGTCCCTCTGGAAGTTTTCGAGTGAGTACAATTTTAAACACCGATTTTGAAAATTGTACTAGATTTAGTACAATTATATTTTTTCTAGTACAATTTATTTTTATAATAATTTTAACATCAATATCGAAATAAGACATATTTTTTAAAAATTGTACTAGATTTAGTACATTTATAAATTTTTTAGTAAAATTCATATTTTTGAAAATTTTGACATCAATATCGACATTGTACTAAAAATAGTACAATTCATAAAGGGTTGCCAGAAACTAGTACAATAGTTCAGGGTTGCCTAAAATTCATAATTGTACTAAAAACTAGTACATTCCAGAATTACTTGAAATTCCGAGTTGTACTAAAAATAGTACATTTTTCGCAGTTACATCGACCAGGGCCGGAATCCGCAACTCTACACGAAAGACTGTATCGAAAAGGCGCTGGCCAAGAACGAACAAGTGAAAGGCAAGATCGATGCGTATCGAAAATTCAAGGCCAACATGCTGCTCGAACTCAGCCGATCTTTCCCGACCGAACTGAGCAAATACCGAGCACTGAGGAGCGACGAGTAATTTTAGAATTAATGAACATGTAATTTTTTTTTGGAAAATAAATTTTCATAGATGGCGCTAGTAGTGATGTTTTATTTAATTTTTCTAAAAAATATCGATATCGATTTAAAAAAATATCGATATCGATAAAAAAAACTTATCGATATCGATTTTAAAAAATATCGATATCGATAAACGAAAATCAATATTGACAAAAAAAAAATCGATTTTAACTGAAAATATCGACAATTGAGGAAAAAAACCCAGTGGCGTACTTTAAAACTTTTATTAACTGTTAAAAATCACAAAAATCAAAATCAGAATTCCGGATTTCCCCAGCGAATCTGCAAAAAAAAAAAGAAAAAATGTATTTAAAAAAAAAAATAATTATGACGTCACTTACGTCAGTTCGTGCCTTCAATTTTCTGTCGATCAATCCGCACAGAGTCTCCGATCGCACCGATAAAGAATCGACTTTTTCGATTAGCTGCTGGTAGGGGCTCAAGGGTTGCGCCCCCATTACTACGTGACCCAATTTCGAGTCAATTTTCGCATCCAGCCTGAAAATTTTCGAAAAATCGATTTTTTTGACCCCGAAAACATCGAAAATGATATTTGATGCGATATGTCGTTTTCGATGTTTTTGGAGTCGAGGATCACGAATTTGAGGTTATTTTCAAAAAATTCCCTCAAATTTGGAAGTTTTGCGGCAATTTTAGCTCATAATCAAAAAATAAACTCAAATTCGCGTTCCTTGACCCCAAAAACCTCGAAAACGACACGTCGCATCGATATTTAATTTCCGTGCGGTAAATACCACTTTACCGCACGGACGTAAAAAATGACGCGATATGTCGTTTTCGATGTTTTCAAGGTCAAGGATTACGAATTCGGCATTATTTTCCAAAAATTTCCTCAAATTTGGAAGCTTTGGGGCAATTTTAGCTCATAATCAAAAAATAACCTCAAATTCGTATTCCTTGACCCCAAAAACCTCGAAAACGACACGTCGCATCGATATTTAATTTCCGTGCGGTAAATACCACTTTACCGCACGGACACAAAAAATGACGCAATATGTCGTTTTCGATGTTTTCGGGGTCAAAAAACCCAAATATGACGTCATTTTCCCAAAATTACCTCGCGTTTCTGATCAAATTGACGATCCAGCACTCGGCCTCGTCCGGATTCATGTTCAACTTTTCGGCCAACATCCCGATGCTGATGCACTGATGAATCCGGCAGAAAGTTTCGAAAATCATCAATCGGGCGTTTTCGACGAATTCGTCCAGACACGAGATGAGGAAAAAGTCGTTGAAAAGTACCGTTTGACAGTCTTGAAGTTTGCGGCGGGCGCCGTCAAAGTCAAAGTTGACGTAGAGGTGTTCTAGGAATTCGGTGATCGGGTCTTTGTAGGTGTAGCTTTCTTGTTGGATCACTTTGACGAGGTCTTTTAGAGCCGATCTGGAAAAAAAAAAAAATTGGAATGTTTTTGGAACGTTCTTGTGACGTTTTTGGAACGTTTTTGTGACGTTTTCAGAACATTCTTGAAAAAATTTCTGTGACTTTTTTTTTTGAAACGTTCTTGTGACATTTTCAGAACGTTATTATCACATTTTCTGGAACGTTTTTGTGACGTTCTTATGATAAACGTTATAGTCACATTTTTTGGTAACGTTTTTGTGACGTTATTGTCACATTTTTTGAAACGTTTTCGTGACATATTGTCACATTTTTTGAAACGTTTTCGTGACATTTTTCTTACGTTCATTTAGAGTTTTCTGCACATTCCTATGACGTTCTTTTTTGGAACCTTCTTCTACCGAAACTTTTGTGGCATTTTTGCAACACTCCTGTGACGTTCTTATGACAATCTGACGTCAGTGTGACATTCTATTGACCTTTTTATGACGTTATGACATTCTAAATACTTTTCTGACATTCTTATGACGTTCTAATGACATTCTTTTAACATTTTGACCAATTAAAACTTACCTTCTGCCTCTGTTGATGATGACAGCTGTCGCAAGGTACCTTAAAATGTGAGGGCACATCGTCTGGATGGCGTTGAGGTAGTGGGGGCGGTAGAGGAACATTTCTATGATCAATTCTCGGCCCATGGCGTGGTTGAAAAAGACGAAAAGTGACCAGTGGATGAGCCAGGTTCTTTGTTGGAGCAAATGGAGACTGTTGCCTGGAAAAAAAAAACGAAAAAAACTTTTTAGAAACTTTTTGGAAACTTTTCGGAAACTTTTTGGAAACATGTTAAAAAATGATGAAAATGCTTAAAAAAATTCAAAAAAAAAATTAACAAGTTTTTTTTCAACATGTTGAAACACTAGAAACTCATTAGAACTTTTTGGACACTTTTTAAAAACTCATTGAAAAATGTTAAAAAATCATCAAAAATCCAAAAAAAATTTTTTTAAAAAATTCAACGAGTTTTTTTTAACATGTTGAAACACTAGAAACTCATTGGAACTTTTTGGAAACTTTTTAAAAACTCATTAAAAAATGTTAAAAAATCATCAAAAATCCAAAAAAAATTTTTTTAAAAAATTCAACGAGTTTTTTTTAACATGTTGAAACACTAGAAACTCGTTGGAACTTTTTGGAAACTTCCTAGAAAATCATTAAAAACTGTAAAAAATTCATCGAAAGTCAAAAAAAAAATCAACGAGTTTTTTTCAACATTTTGGAACACTAGAAACTCGTTGGAACTTTTTGGAAACTTTCTAGAAACTCATTGGAAAATGATAAGAATTCGTCAAAAGTCCAAAAAATAATTAAAAAAATTCAACAAATTTTTTTCAACATGTTGAAACACTAAAAACTCGTTGGAACTTTTTGGAAACTTTTTAAAAACTCATTAAAAAATGTTAAAAAATCATCAAAAATCCCAAAAAAAATTTTTTAAAAAATTCAACGAGTTTTTTTTAACATGTTGAAACACTAAAAACTCCTTGAAACTTTTCGGAAATTATTTAAAAACTCGTTGGAATGATACAAATTTATTGGAAAGTCGAAAATAAAATTTGAAAAAATTTAACAAGTATTTTTTAACATGTTGAAACACTAGAAACTCGTTGGAACTTTTTGGAAACTTCCTAGAAAATCATTAAAAACTGTTAAAAATTCATCGAAAGTCAAAAAAAAATCAACGAGTTTTTTTCAACATTTTGGAACACTAGAAACTCGTTGGAACTTTTTGGAAACTTTCCAGAAACTCATTGGAAAATGATAAAAATTCATTAAAAGTGCAAAAAATGATTTAAAAAAATTCGACAAGTTTTTTTAAACATATTGGAACACTAGAAACTTGTTGGAACTTTTTGGAAACTTTCTATAAACTCATTGGAAAATGATTAAAATTCATTAAAAGTCCAAAAAATGATTTAAAAAAATTTGACAGTTTTTTTTTAAACATCTTAGAACACTAGAAACTCGCTGGAACTTTTTGGAAATTTTCTAGAAACTCATTGGAAAATGAAAGAAAATTCATTTAAAGTCCAAAAAATGATTTTAAAAAATTCGACAAGTTTTTTTAAACATGTTGGAACACTTGAAAGTCGTTGGAACTTTTTGGAAACTTTCTAGAAACTCATTGGAAAATGAAAAATTCATTAAAAGTTAAAAAAACGATTTAAAAAAATTCGACAAGTTTTTTTAAACATATTGGAACACTAGAAACTCGTTGGAACTTTTTGGAAACTTTCTAAAAACTCATTGGAAAATGATTGAAATTCATTAAAAGTCTAAAAAATGATTTAAAAAAATTCGACAAGTTTTTTTAAACATGTTGGAACTCTGGAAACTCGTTGGAACTTTTTGGAAACTTTCTAGAAAACTCATTGGAAAATGATAAAAATTTATTAAAAGTCCAAAAAATTATTTAAAAAAATTCGACAAGTTATTTTAAACATATTGGAACACTAGAAACTCATTGAAACTTTTTGGAAACTTTCTAGAAACTCATTGGAAAATGATAAAAATTTATTAAAAGTCCAAAAAAGTATTTAAAAAAATTGGACAAGTTTTTTTAAACATGTTGAAACACTAGAAACACGTTGGAACTTGGAAAATGAAAAATTTATTAAAAGTTTAAAAAACGATTTAAAAAAATTCGACAAGTTTTTTTAAACATGTTGGAACACTAGAAACTCGATGGAACTTTTTAAAAACTTTCTAGAAACTCATTGGAAAATGATAAAAATTCATTTGCAGTCTAAAAAATAATTTAAAAAAATTCAAGGAGTTTTTTTCAACATGTTGGAACACTAGAAACTCGTTGGAACTTTTTGGAAACTTTCTAGAAACTCATTGGAAAATGATAAAAATTCATTAAAAGTCCAAAAAATGATTTAAAAAAATTCGACAAGTTTTTTTAAACATGTTGGAACACTAGAAACTTGTTGGAACTTTTTGGAAACTTTCTAGAAACTCATTGGAAAATGATAAAAATTCATTGAAAGTCAAAAAAATTATTTAAAAAAATTCAACAAGTTTTTTTAAACATGTTAGAACACTAGATACTTGTTGGAACTTTTTGGAAACTTTCTAGAAACTCATTGGAAAATATTAAAATTCATTAATAGTCCAAAAAAAAAATTTTGAAAATTAGAGAAGTTTTTTTTAAACATGTTGGAACACTGGAAACTCGTTGGAACTATTTGGAAATTTTCTAGAAACTCTTGGAAAATGATAAAAATTCATCAAAAGTCCAAAAAATGATTTAAAAAAATCGACAAGTTTTTTTAAACATGTTAGAAAACTAGAAACTCGGAACTTTTTGGAAACTTTCTAGAAGCTCATTGGAAAATGATAAAAATTCATTAAAAGTCCAAAAAATGATTTTCATAAATTCGACAAGTTTTTTTAAACATGCTGAAACACTAGGAACTTGTTGGAACTTTTTGGAAACTTTCTAGAAACTCATTGGAAAATGATAAAAATTCATTTAAAGTCCAAAAAATAATTTGAAAAAATTCGACAAGTTTTTTTAAACATTGTTGGAACACTTGAAACTCGTTGGAACTTTTTGGAAACTTACTAGAAATTCATTGGAAAATGATAAAAATTCATCAAAAGTCCAAAAAATGATTTAAAAAAATTCGACAAGTTTTTTTAAACATGTTGGAACACTAGAAACTCGTTGGAACTTTTTGGAAACTTTCTAGAAACTCACTGGAAAATGACGAAGATTCATTAAAAGTCCAAAAAATGATTTAAAAAAATTCGACAAGTTTTTTTAAACATGTTGGAACACTAGAAATTCGTTGGAACACTAGAAACTCGTTGGAACTTTTTGGAAATTTTCTAGAAACTCATTGGAAAATGATAAAAATTCATTAGGAGTCCAAAAAATGATTTAAAAAAATTCGGCAAGTTTTTTTCAACATGTTGGAACACTAGAATCTCGTTGGAACTTTTTGGAAACTTTCTAGAAACTCATTGGAAAATGATAAAAATTCATTAGGAGTCCAAAAAATGATTTAAAAAAATTCGGCAAGTTTTTTTCAACATGTTGGAACACTAGAAACTCGTTGGAACTTTTTGGAAACTTTCTAGAAACTCATTGGAAAATGATAAAAAATCATTAGGAGTCCAAAAAATGATTTAAAAAAATTCGGCAAGTTTTTTTCAACATGTTGGAACACTAGAAACTCGTTGGAACTTTTTGGAAACTTTCTAGAAACTCATTGGAAAATGATAAAAATTCATTAAAAGTCCAAAAAATGATTTAAAAAAATTCGACAAGTTTTTTTAAACATGTTGGAACACTAGAAACTCGTTGGAACTTTTTGGAAACTTTCTAGAAACTCATTGGAAAATGATAAAAATTCATTAAAAGTCCAAAAAATGATTTAAAAAAATTCGACAAGTTTTTTTAAACATGTTGGAACACTAGAAACTCGTGGGAACTTTTTGGAAACTTTCTAGAAACTCATTGGAAAATGATAAAAATTCATTAGGAGTCCAAAAAATGATTTAAAAAAATTCGGCAAGTTTTTTTCAACATGTTGGAACACTAGAAACTCGTTGGAACTTTTTGGAAACTTTCTAGAAACTCATTGGAAAATGATAAAAATTCATTAGGAGTCCAAAAAATGATTTAAAAAAATTCGGCAAGTTTTTTTCAACATGTTGGAACACTAGAAACTCGTTGGAACTTTTTGGAAACTTTCTAGAAACTGATTGGAAAATGATAAAAATTCATTAGGAGTCCAAAAAATGATTTAAAAAAATTCGACAAGCTCTTTTAAACATGTTGGAACACTAGAAACTCGTTGGAACTTTTTAGAAACTTTCTAGAAACTCGTTGGAAAATGATAAAAATTCATTATTAGTCCAAAAAATAATTTAAAAAAATTCGACAAGTTTTTTTTAAACATGTTGGAACACTAGAAACTCGTTGGAACTTTTTGGAAACTTTCTAGAAACTCATTGGAAAATGATAAAAATTCATTAAAAGTCCAAAAAATAATCTTAAAAAATTCAACGAATTTTTTTCGTTATGTCGAAACACAAAAAACTCGTTGGAACTTTTTGGAAACTTTTTAGAAACTCATTGGAAAATGATTAAAAAATTCATTAAAAGTCCAAAAAATGATTTAAAAAAATTCTACAAGTTTTTTTAAACATGTTGGAACACTAGAAACTTGTTGGAACTTTTTGGAAACTTTCTAGAAACTCATTGGAAAATGATAAAAATTCATTAAAAGTCCAAAAAATGATTTAAAAAAATTCTACAAGTTTTTTTAAACATGTTAGAACACTAGATACTTGTTGGAACTTTTTGGAAACTTTCTAGAAAACATTGGAAAATGCAAATTCATTAAAAGTCCAAAAAATGATTTTAAAAAATTCGACAAGTTTTTTTAAACATGTTGGAACACTAGAAACTCGTTGGAACTTTTTGGAAACTTTCTAGAAACTCATTGGAAAATGATAAAAATTCATTAGGAGTCCAAAAAATGATTTAAAAAAATTCGGCAAGTTTTTTTCAACATGTTGGAACACTAGAAACTCGTTGGAACTTTTTGGAAACTTTCTAGAAACTCATTGGAAAATGATAAAAATTCATTAAAAATCCAAAAAATGATTTTAAAAAATTCGACAAGTTTTTTTAAACATGTTGGAACACTAGAAACTCGTTGGAACTTTTTGGAAACTTTCTAGAAACTCATTGGAAAA